ATAAATTAACAGTCAAACTCTTAGATTATAAAAAAGAAAAGAAAAAATTAAACTCAAATTGTTTTAATAATAGATACTTATTCATTTCTATTTAGAATATTTTCATGCGACAATTCATTATCAAAGGATTGAATTAACATTTTGTCATTGATGAAAATTAATTAATGCTGAAGAATTAAATTTATATTTATAAATTTTTATTAATAACTGGAAATTTGAAAAATTTCAAGAAAATGCTAAGGTTTTCTGTAGAAAGAGAGAGACGTTAAACATTCAAAGACTCGTGGAATCTGCTCTATTCTTGGCCTCCGCTTCCACTTTTTGCTTCCTATCGCATTACTTCCCATTAGTCAAGATATAAATCGCGCTTATCCCAGCGATTCGACCACGAAATTCCTAGTAATGATAACTTCAAACGTTCGACTTTCTCTGCATATTCCTACCAAATTTATGCGTACCTAATGTCCGTTTCTTCCAATGGAGTTTAATTTTAATCTTTAAACGAACTCATTTTTTTTCTAGTTCTAAAAGTTGGAAAAAGAAAAATGAAGAACAAGTTGAATCGAGATTAAAGTTAATTTGTATTCATAGAAATGGACATAAGAGTTATCCTTGCCTGCGGAAGGCAAGAAGAGACAGACGTGGACTTTTAAATAAAAATCGTCAGCTTAGCAACGTCGACTGATCGTGAACGGTGCCGAGGCCTTTATTGTGAATGCAAACGTTTCTACACAGTGTCGGTATGAGATAAACGACGAACTACATCGTCGTTTTTTAATTTTTCACATAAGAAAACGGACGGAAAAGTAATGATATTCTGTATATTTTTCCGTATATTTTATAGTCATTCAAAATTTGATACGATTCTTCTCTCTATCCTAAGGAAACTTCTGCATCAATTTACATTTTACATAATTAATAACATTATCTATTAATCTATGTACGGTCTAAAATGAGATTCTTATTGATTATTAATCTATAAATTCTGAAGGAATTTGTATAAATGCAAATCAAAATAATTTTTATCTATAAATATAACAAAGATATTTCTGTCAACAAAGAATAATTTCAGATAAACTATTTACTATAATAATCAATATTAAATAATACTATAATAATCTATAATAATCAATATTACACTGAGAGAAAAATGTTTGAATTGTATGACTAAATGGTAAAATAATTAATTTATGAATAACAAATTGTGAATAATTAGAAGTTTCATTTTTATAATTATTACTGCTCTAATAGTAACAATAATTATTATATGTATTAGTATAATAATTTTTATCCACAATGACATGATGACTCCATCAATAAAGATTTAATTTCGGGCAAACTGATTACTCAATAATCAATATTATTGAGAGAAAAATGCTACTTGTGACTGTATAGGCTGGTCGTATCTTAAAAAATTTTAAGGCTTGTCAAAATTAGAAAGATTTGAAGGAAAACTTTTGCTTTTTTTTTTTTCAAAAGTGGAAAACAAGTAAACTGACCCTGTGCTTCCACGCGTTTGCTCTCTCACGCGACCGGCTCGTTTGGCACAGACAGCTTGTCCGCTCTAGCGAGATCGAGAGATCGCGTTTCTCGTCGCGATTCTCGTCGCGCATTCAACATTAAACGCGACCGGTCCAAACTAGTCATCCATCTTCTCTTTTGTCCCTTCTGAACGAGATTTTTCACATCGCACTGTAAAACTTATAGACAACAAAAAAAAAACGTCCAAAAGGAAAACATAGGCATAAAGAAACTATGGCATATTTATAAGATAAAATTCGAAATTGCGGACGATACTTGGCATTGAAAGCGCTACGGAAGAATCGCTCTTTAATCTATTTACCTTCTCGCTAAATTCCTGTAGACATAAAGGATCCTTTCAAACGTCAAATCTTCAGCTTCCCCATAACCTCGTATCCTGCTTTAGATTTATCTCGATTCTGTTGGAATGTCGTTTTCACGCTCTATCCAGCTAGGCGGCTTCTCCGAAGTCCGGTCATCGTGACGAAAACGACAGAACACTTGATAGCCTTTCACGGTGTCTTTCACTGTCCCTTTTCAATCAGAACCGGCACCGCACCAATCGGCAGGGCGAGCAAGCCAGCAGGGTCGACACGTGTGCCTCGGTGCGCGTGTATCGACGTACGTTCGTGTGAATGAGATGGATGGGTGCGCGTGCACGCCGGACGTCGCGAGCACGTGTTACTCGTGTCACTCGCGAGCGAACAGTGGAGACTCCGACGTGTCCGAACCATACGAAATCCCGATTCTTACTGACAGACCGGAGTACCGGACCGTTGCAGAAATCCCCTTCACCTCGGGGCCACGCGACGCTCGACTCGCTCCAATGCGTGACTTGTGAGCGAGAACCGGCGGACCGGCACACCATGAGCATATGCACCAACGTACCCACTGTCGCCGGTATACAGTATTGTATCGCGCAACGCATTGTACCCTCTCTCGCAAATATAGCTCTCCTGAAATATACGAATTACGTGACTCATACTTTCTTACATGTCCAGATAACACAAAAAGAATTCAGTCGTGCGTCATCAATTTCCAGTTAATTTTCAGATGCAAAAAGAATCTCTTCTCAGAATTGTTCAGAAAAATTTTTTTGTATCTGAAAATAAATTTTAAATTGACATAACTGAATTCTTTTTGAACTCTCTGCACTATCTTTTGCGGTGAACGCTAAGGTTACGTTATCTTCTTCTTAATAACTAATTAAGAAAAAGATGATTTTAATGACTTTAACGTTCGTCGTATCTGGAGCTACGTTATTGCAAAAACTCTCTATTATCTGGATTCTGTTATCCGTATTCACATCAACTTCCTGAGTCAGCCATATATATATTTAACGCTTCCACAAATTTATCTTCGGATGCTCCACGAATTATTTTATTGACTGCAGAGTATCTAAAGATGAATTTAGAAAATTTTAAGATCCTCTTTAGATGCTTAAATGTAAGGCCTGATTATGGACATAAAATGACCTGACTTCTTGGTTCAATAAATAAAATAACTTTGCCATTGTTATAAAATTCTTTATTATTCTCTTAAAGAGTGAAATCTCATTCTTAAAGATTAAAAATTGAGCACTCTTTTTTGAGACTCGCTCAATTTTTACTCTTTAGAGTAAGATTTCACTTCCAAAGAATTTAGAGAGTATGGTTGATCTTATCTTTAGTTCTTCACTGGATCTAAATATATAAGCCAATTATATTAAAAAAATTTAAACAGTTGCAAAACTGTTTCTCTGCTGAATACAATAGCCATTGTACAATTTAGATGCTGTATATAAAATTAGGTAGGTGTTGCAAATATATACAGTTAAAACAAACTTGCGTAAACTAATCTCAATTCCCAAAAGATGTAATTGTCAATTATTTGAAAATCACACCACAAAATATTCCTTGTACAAATTATTTTTAAATATGTTCAAATAATTTTAATGGTGAATTTTTTACTTGTATAGAATTCGCTTCCCAAGTGACAATAAATAAATATATTACATGTATAATATATTTATTTATTGTCACTTGGGAAGCGAATTCTATACAAGTAAAAAATTTAAACAGTTGCAAAACTGTTTCTCTGCTGAATACAATAGCCATTGTACAATTTAGATGCTGTATATAAAATTAGGTAGGCGTTGCAAATATATACAGTTAAAACAAACTTGCGTAAACTAATCTCAATTCCCAAAAGATGTAATT